ACATCCCAACGTTTCTACGACTCGGTGCTTTTACGCCCCGGCGCTCCACGTCGCTATGCTTCTAGGTCCCGACGCTCCGCCTCAACATTTCCACACAAGCAACGCTCTAAGTATTAAACAACAATATAAAATGTCAGAAATAGAAACGAAATGGTCTTTCTATCCGATTGTAAGTTAATAACTTAATTGAATATTTTTTTAGAAATTTATTATTCAATAACGACACATTTGGGGCTGCCAGATGGACACGCTCCAGATTTCATTTGGCCTTGAATTGAACTGGTTTGTTATAAATAATTTTTATTATATGTTTCTCGACGAAATCTAGTTATTTGTTTCAGTGCCCCAGGTAATGATGGCATTCTACTAAGGGATAGTAAATGATTTGCATTTGATTCCTTAGATAGACACTTAAATTTAAATACGATGTCTTTTGTTTGACAGAAATTGAACGTTTTTTTTCCATTTGAGATGATGATCAAGATGGATTATTAAATATTTAGTATCTGCACTGTGGACTTCAATTGTTTGACCTTCATACTGAATGAAGAGTTATTAAAGACTGGTAAGACATTTTTATAGGATGCAAAAGAAAGAAAGCCGATTACAGACTTGAATCTGATAGTCTGCCATATATCAATGTTTACAAAAATATAGTGAATTAATTAACCAAAAATAAACAAGTAGGTCTAAAAAAAAATCATTTGTGTTAAAACTATCCAGATACATTTTATTTTTAAAAATTCCGCTACCCACGTCTGTCTGTTCAATCCTAATTAATTTTCTAATGGGAAATTGAATACTTTCGTTATTTATTGCATTCTATAAATCAATCTCATTGGTTCAACGCTTTATGACCTATCAACAACCAAGAATGCTTAGACCGTCTTTATTTTTATCCATGGGAAGATTTTGGTCGTAAATTGCGATTTCTGATAGATAGAAAATTGACGATGGACGATCGAGAAGTAATTGACAGTGACAAATGATCACCGCCAACTTAGGAAAAACGACAATGAGCTTAATACTCAACAGAATTAAAAAACTTTGTAGAAATATTGACTAATGACAATGTAAGAGTATGCACACATTTAGAAAATTTAGTAATTTTGTATCTAATACACTGCGCACCAAAATTATCGCATTTTAATAATCGTCTAAATCAAAAAGCTGGACTACAGAGAGAAACAATTTTAAAACTAATTGAGTTATTATAATTATTAGTATTAAAATATCTGTTTTATTATCCAATGTTGACTTTGTAATAGGACAAATTACTTTTCCTCATTTAAATTATTAACAATACTTGTCCTATCTATATCTTAATATCCACGCTAGTATTCTACTGTCCGGGGTGAACTACACGTTTTCCATTTAAAAAGTATTAGTGAACAAGATCCTATAAAATTGCAGAGGCTAAATTAAAATTAATAAATATTAATACACTATACGTAAAAAGTAACCGATTTGTCTTATAATATCCATTGATATGTACTCTTTATGAAGAGAGACAAAAGAAAAAGTGGGCCACAGCTTAGAATTTGAGGTTATGTAGACGACTGTGAGACTTAAACTCTAAATGAAATGGAGCGCGTTTCGGGAAATTACGGGGCCAATTGTGAGATAGCCTTATGGGACCCCAATTTGAGTGAGGGGATGAGCTCGAGCGACGCCTTACCTACTGATACAGGGAAGGAACTTTTTAATTAAAATGTTAAACAAATGCAATATAGACAGGTAACTGTTTGAGTTTAATTGAAGTCAAATACCCTTACTTTCTTTCTCTTCTGGTTTCTTGATATGATTCGTCCAATTTAAATTATAACATCAAATTTAGTCAAAACTGTCAATAAGCAATTTAGAATTGTCAATTTTGCTGGTAAATTTCTCGTAATTTCATTTTCTCCGAGTGTATTTCTGGTATGTTAGTTTAACAAATTTTATTAGTCTTAAGTGCAGAAATGACTATTAAATGTTTTGTTTGTTCTAAAACAGAAGTTTCAGGCAATACCATTGTGTTACTTTTATATTTAAGAAAACATTAGTTTCGGTACATCAAGTACCTAATTAAAGCAAGAAAAAATATTACTAAAAGGCAAACCATAAATGTATTATTTGTTATATCATTGAAACAGTCAATATCAAACCTTGAAACAAGGAAAATCTGGATTCAAAACCTAGAATGGGAACGATTGAAATTGACAAAATTAACAAAACCAATAGAATATGTTCGAAAAATTTTAGAAATTAAGATTCGTCTTCAGCTTGTAATTAGGTTTTAAATATTATGTATTGCCTAATTCAAGTTATTCCTATTTTCAGTAGTAATATCCCAAGGATAGCGATAATTGAAAATAATTTTTTTTTACTTACCCAAAGCTGGAAGTTACCTTGAGAAACGTGCTTGAGGTATTTGAAAAATAATTATGAGTATTTATCACTGGCCCAGCGCTATTCAGTCAGAAAATTTTTGACATATTTTAACTCAGTTATTTAATAAAAAAAACCTAGTGTACCTAGTTACAGTCCATTAAGTCTTGACTGTACATTTCATAAAATGTTGACTGTAAATTCTTTAAGTCGGTATCATCTTTTTTCTCATATTTATTTTATTTGTAACCCTGCAATATTTTTTATGCATAAAGTCCAGATTATAAATACATTTAGCAGGCGTTAAGTGCCCCTTTATCGCCCGCGGACTACTTTACTGGCCACGAACTACTTTGACGCTCGCCGGGCGATAAAGTAACAGTATATTATTCAACGAACGGGTAATGATGGCTATTACGAGGATGAAGTTTGCACTACGAGTTGTAGGCGAGTAGTGTAATCATTTGACTGAGTAATAGCCATTACCTGCTAGTAGAATACTATACTTTTTCTATGATTATTAAATTAAATAATAGAAAAGAGTTATGCAATATTTTATTTCATTTATTTGTTCCAACATTAATTGTGAAATTAGAACAAATTTGAAAATGAACAGAAGTTTTAGAATCCAAATCAACAGTAGCAGTTAGATGTATTTCTACTAGTCAACTGGTTTTTCGTGTAGATTGTAGTTGTGGTCAAATTTTGTTGAAAATAAGTAATGGTTGAAAATAATTGAGCAATGAAAGAAATAATTGAGTAATGAAAAAAAAAAAAAAAAAACTCACTGTTGAGTAACCACTTACATTAATCAATATAGTATAGTACTTGTATGTATAATATTGTTAAATAGTCATAGAAAAAAATATTTTTTTATTTCATTTAAAAAATAATATTTAGTTAGAAAAACAATAGCTAAACGATCATTAAAACGGTCGTACATAAAATTTTATATATTTGTTAATAAATTATTATTAAAAGGGTCGTGCATAAAATTGTGTATGTATTTCGGACGTAAACAGCGTTTATGGATCTTACGTGTTAATAGCCCTCACCTAGCGGTTCGGGCTCTTACTTACACGTTACGGTCCATAAACGCCTGTTTTACGCCCATGATACATAATTAACTATTAAAACCATTCTAGGATTAAATAGAGTATTACCAGACAATTAAAAAACTGAAACAAAATACAGGGTGTTCTATTTTAAAAATATACATTTTTATTTGCCAGAATAACACCCTATATATCTTAAAATATTTTTAAGAACGGTCTCCATATTATTTTTATTTAAAACTTGTTTGTGTATTTATAACACAAATTGATTTATCGAGCAATTACGCACTAATGAGACCCTGTACAATATATGAATATTCTCACATAATTTATCACTATTTCAACGTTATTTCGAATTTTTTTTCGTCCTTATTTTTTCGTTGTACACTTCGGAATCGTATGAAAGTCGCCAAATCGTAATATTTTATCAAGAATTTTACGAAAACAAAAAGCATACGTTTGGTAATTGTTTAAAGTGCGTCGATTATGTTGCCACCTATTTTGGCGTATGCAAATATCTTAAACATGCAATTTTTTTTGCGCATATTTACCCAATACTTTCTCATAGCGCAAATGCATACATTTCATAAAAGTACGTTTAAAAAATTACTGCTACGCATGTGCACGCCGCGATTGTATGCAAAGTAGCTTTTCGTGGTCTATTTAACAAAAATAATGCTGTGAAAAAGCATTCGTTTAATAATTATTGTTTAATACCTCTTTTTTTTACATATTCAATTAATAAATTCGGGACGTACTACACGAAGGAGGCGCATGTAGATTATTTTCTGCGGTATATTTTTTCAAATTTTAACAAAGAACAATTTGCATGCATTTACTAATCGTTCGGAATTATTCATTTTAAATACAAATTCAAATTTGCTTGGTGACGCCGCTGCATGCGAGCACTCTCAGATAATTGGCTAGAAGAACATTTTAAAAACGTATAATAATTATAACTTAAAAGATGCATACATTAAAAAGACGTTGCAAAAAATCTGTCATTACCGTCTAGTCTATAATAGTAGATTCTGAGTAAAATCGTAGATGTATTTTTAATAATGCGTTTTTTAAGAGACCATTTTGCAAGGTAAAATGTTTGCCATGCTTGCTTATCTGGCCATCAATAGGCTGCTTTAAATTAATAAATTCTTTTCAGTGTACTGGTTTTGTAGATTTTTATAGATTATTGCATACCATAATTTTAAGTTTGGAGACGAGAAGTAAATGAGGCAAACAGAAAGTGGCAAAGTGGGAAGACACCATAAAAAAATTATAGATATTATCTATTTATTTTGTTTATCTGATATTGGCACAATCAATGCAGGTATTAACGGTCAATGTAGTTAATATTACTGAGCAAACAACATTACCCATGCGTTTGGATAAAAGCGAAAGACTAAAGTATTAAAGTCTTCCAAACGTCAGCCAATATTTTTACCAAAAAAAGGCGAAAAAAAAACACACTGCACAATTCATAAACTACGGATATATTGAAAGAACAGATTAAGCCAAAATACTTTAAAAACTACTACAGTCTACTAAAACAAAAATCAGTCTCTTCACTCTCAAGTCTCAATTCTTTACCCAAAAAGGCTTTCCAGTCGTCGGATCTATTGATTTGCTCGTTGATGGATGATTATTTTTTTGGCTATTCTCTTCGGACGTTACTTTCTGTAATTCTTCGGCTGCGTGCTTTAACACCTCCGTTGTTTTATCTTCGGGTGCAGTTTGAGAAATACCACTTGCGTTTTGGTCTACAAAGAAAAATATCCAGCCTAGGCAACGCTACTAACGTATGGAACATAAATTTTGAGAACAAGTTTGCTTTGGAATTACTTCTCAATTTTGATCTCGGATCATGTTTTCAGGAAACCGGTATTCAAATCATGTTTTGTCATTGTTAAATGTTGAACTTGTCATCAAAATATCCTACTAACTTGGAAATTAGTTGGTCAGTTGCTCAAATATGAAAGTGTTTATTTGTTCAGAGATCAAAATGTTAGTCAAGCAACGGTTTATATGACAATAAGAGATTGCGAAGAGAGTATATCTTGCACTAATTTGCCGAAGACTGGAAGGCCTCATATTTTGATACAAAACTGAGCCCCAGATTAGTACAAAGCGCTTAAGAAAGGATTGGAATCCTTAGTCGGTAGCTTGGTCGCCTTTTTAAGGTCCAAAGAATTTTGTCCAAAACGGTGTAAAGTACCGAAAAATATGGGAATGTCCCAAATACACCCAGGCCCAGTTGAAAGAATACCTAGATATTGCAGAAGTCTGAGGCGAAGGAATTTTGTACAGAATCGTGTGATTATAATATAATAATATAGAGGACGAGAAATATTTAACCCTGTCAAATTCGGAAATGAAAGGTAACGGTGGATTTTACACCTCTGATATCGACAACAGAATTTTGTTCATTATTGTGTCAAATATTTAGGAAAACGATTGAAATATCCAAAATGAACAACCATTACGTCCACGAAGTTTTAGAAAAAACCGGGGTGTCAAAAAAAATGAGACAAGTCTTAGGCAAATTGCGAGCTATTGAATAAAAAGTGTTTATCTATCTATCTATCTATCTATCTATCTATCTATCTATCTATCTATCTATATCTATCTATCTATCTATCTATCTATCTATCTATCTATCTATCTATCTATCTATCTATCTATCTATCTATCTATCTATCTATCTATCTATCTATCTATCTATCTATCTATCTATCTATCTATCTATCTATCTATCTATCTATCTATCTATCTATCTATCTATCTATCTATCTATCTATCTAATAATGTTTATCTTTTATTCCTGTTCTAAATATGTTTTGGTCATATATACAATGGCCGGCAAAGGTATGGAGCAAATTCATAAACTCGTATATTTTCCCCAAAAAATTGTTAGACAGGTCGATTTGGTTTTTAATACCGCACATGTCGATGTAACGTTTTGATTTTTGTTGCCATTTTTGAACAAGATATAACGTCATCGGCCATTTTTTTAAATTGCACCCGGCCCTTTTTTGCACATTCGAATAAGTTATAATATTCTGATTTCAGCAATATGCACATGTATACCTTTTGGGTTGATAATTTCGGGTATTTAAATGTCAAAAATCGAGATTTTTAATTAATTTTATTTCCAACGGTAACAATCCATCTTTCCCATTATTCGAAAATTTCGCATCCGTTATTCGAAAATTTCGCATTCCTCATGTGCCAAAAAAGCGGGGAATTTTTAATTCTAGTAATTTTTTAAATAACTTATTTTTTATTTCTTTCTTATCCTCGCTTTACAACTGTTGAGTTGACTACGACGATTACTCCCTGTCATCGATACTTTCAACAACTGTCATCGAGTCTATATAGCCAAGGAGCCAGTGCCACTTTTTTGGTATACATTTGCACCTATCAACTTCTATTCAATTCTATTAAACTATTATTAATTAATTTTTTCTCGATTTTTCTGAATTTTTACTTTTTCGGCTATTTTATAATGAAATATTATTTTACACATATCTACAGTTTTATTCTTTCGACCTAAGGAATTTAAAATTTCAAATCACTGTGTTACTGTCAAATGCACCATTTAATGCTTAGAAAGATTTGGAAAGGTGCGTATAGATACAACTGGACCAGGTTCGTCAGATTTGTACGGTGTCGAATGTCCAACGCGCGATGGAAAACAACGCGCCTACCACGGGTCAAATATTATCGAAGCAGGTCCGTTTGCTTTCCATCACGCGGTATATATACGACACCGTACAAATCTGACGAACCTGGCCCCGTTATTGAACTGGGTCCGGGCCGTTATATCTATACCCACCTTAAGACCTAACTAAACGCTTAGCTGAAAGTTGTTATATCTCTAGTAACCATTTTTTGTTCAAAGCCACACGCAAACAAATAAATACACAAAAAACTTTCATAATATCTTTTTGTAGAACTAAAAAAAAAAATAATTTAAAGTCAAGCGCAAAAATGTTGACCTTGAAATGAAATATTTTGAGATTTTATAAAAAATATTTCTAACATAATATCGTTTTAATTTTTCGGAAATAATAATATGTAAAATTTTTCTTCCTTTAGAAATTCATTCTCCGAAACTATCAGCCCAAAAAGTATATAGCTAAAATTAATATCATAACCTATTCAAAGCTGTAAAAAATGGACGGTGCAAAAATGGGGATAAAAATAACAATTTTACATCAAAATGTACGGAACTGAAAAACAAAATCGACCTTTTCTGGGGAACAAATGCGAATTTTTTAATGAATGTGTTCCATACTTTTGCCGATCACTGTATACTTGATAACTTTACTGGGAAGACATGAGTTGGACACACCAAATACTTTCTATAGAATAAAAGAATGCATACTCTTTATTGTATTTGATTACCTTTTCATAACCTCTTACACTTTACTCAAAATTATGTCAAATCATAGAATAAATTTCGTAGTTGTAACTTTAACAATATTTCATATATTTATGTGTAGAATGATTGCAAACACTCTCTATGTTCCTGATATCATCAAAAAGCAACATTTTCGGCCATTGAAAACGTTCCAATACGGTTCGCTAGCGTCGAAGCGAAAACTACAGAGAGTTATCATTAGTGCAAGCAGGATACTAAAATAACAACGTTGCCAGTAAACGGCCGCCTGGCTTCGTGGGGATAATTCTCGGTGCACGGTATGTATATCGTGACGTGACCACAATATATACCCTGTAGTAATGTCACTGGGATTCAAGAAATGACTTTGAGTTACGCTGCGGCCAGGCGCAGGGACTCATGGCGCTAGTATCGTTTTGAATTTTGACACGTCTGATATCGGCACGTTCATTGGTTGAAGACGAAGTTTTTGGCAATTTGACAAGCGAAGCGTGAAGTGTCAGTATTGACAAGTGGTAATTTTTTCATTTTTTTCTGCTACGAAATTTATATCGTTTTAATTTTGTTTCAGCGCTATTTATTGTGATTTGTGTTGCTGTATTAAGTGCTTACTTATTTAATATGGAAAGCAAAACGTACAACAAACAAAGAGGATTCCTATGGCTGTCATCCCAGCCCTAGTTAATACTTTTCCAGAGAGAAAAGCCTTTAAAATTCAAGTATAACAATTTTATGTTTCGGTTTTCCCTTCTTTTAATGTAGGTGCCAATTTTAACGTAAGTTTGTAATAATTTTTCAGTTAATACCCTCTATTATAATTTAACTAAGTTCTTATGCTTTCCTATGGACATGATTTAAGGAGGGAGTCCTATGGCTGCCATTCAAGCCCTAGATAATAGTTTTCCAGTGGCAACAGCCTTTAAAATTCAAGTATAATAATTTATGGTTTTAGTTCCTCTCCTTTTTCGAAGTAGGTGTCCATTTAAACTAATTTTTTTAATTTTATTTGTTATTTTTAGCATTTATATACAGTTCGGCTATTGAACACTTTCCAATACGCTTGGCTAGCATCGAACCGAAAACTAAAGAGTTAGCATTAGTGTGATCAAGAAACGAATAATATGAATGTTGCCTTGTTTGCTGTATAATATGAACAGGTACACGGCGCGATGCATCCCCACGTAGTATTCCATTCCTACTCGCACTAATGCTAACTCTTTGTAGTTTTCACTTGGACATTACCAAAATGTATTGTAAAACATTCGAAAGCTGACACTGTATTATCACAAACATCTCTTAATAACCAAATGCTTTTATTAATATAGTTTCTTTTTTTTTTTTTCAGTAAAAATGGATATAGCTAGAGTTATTCTCGACTTTAAAATAAATTAAATAAGTTTTATAATTTTTCAAATAAAATATTTTATACGATTTTTTATTTTTTTTACCAGAGCCAATTTTTTTTCAGAGCCAACCTCTACAGGTAAAAAATAAGTGATTTAGGTAAAATTGAAAAATATATTACATGTTCTTTTAAATGTGTTGTTAATCCCAACGCTGCTCTTATTGTAATAGCTAACAATAAAAGAATTCGTATTATTTTTAGCTGTCAAAATAAAAATAGCGTCTGGATTTACAGCTCGTTAATGGAACATACAATATACTTCTCAATTATTGCCGAATGAATATATTTAAAAAATCCCATTTAAATTTCGCCTTAAAAATATATTTTAATTTACCGCCATATCGAGTTAGTTAAGCGGCCAGTCGCATTTAGCGCTGCAAACTTAGTGTCATCTCTTTAACAAGTGAGATGCACTACTACAGGGGATATATTCTGACCGTGACTGTGTGTATATAATGCCGTCTGTCTGCGCTCTGCGCTGTGTGCTGTGAATTGCGAATAGGCACATGACAGATATCCCCACGGGGACGGCTATTTGGCAAAGTTGCTATTATTTGTTTCCTTCTTGAACTAATGCGCAGTCTCTATAATTTCCGCTTCGACACTAGCAAACCGTATTGGAAGGTTTTTAATAGCCGATACTGTATATGGAAACAAATAATTCATTTAATAAATACAATCTTACCAGCATCCTTTTTCTTAACACTTCTTCTACTATTTCCGAACCTCTTGATACTTTTAGCTTTGCTCACCCCATCTAAATCATTCAAATATTTTTCATCGTACTTAATGACATCCTGTCCATCTACTGGACCATAATTATTAACAGGTGACACGGACCTAGATCTGGAAGTCCTACTGGGCACCACAAGCACTTTATTCGTCCAGTATTGCGTAGTATTGAAATTTGTACTTTCGAGTATGACGTCGACTTTTTCTCCTCTAATCGGATCAAAGGATTTTATGGCTTCTGCTTCGCCTTCGATGAGTTCAGCGCAAATACTGTTTCGAGGCACTGCGGGCGGGTCGACCAATAAAAATGGCAACGCCTCATGTTCTAAAGGTATCTCGGAGGTTTCTGGTACCTCAAAATCGGTATCATCGAATACTACGGTGTTTAAGATTTCTTCTGATACGATGAATTGACGTGGAAGGGGTATGGGTGACTCTTCGTTTTGTTTTTCTTTAAGAAGATACCTATTCGTTTGGGAGAAAATAGTTTATTGTAGATGTTGGTGAAATTGTGGGGTTTTCCAAAAAAGTTTTTTTTTTTTAATTAGAGTTACAAATAACAGAAGAATAATTGGTAGGGAGGCTAAGATACTTCTGACTGACTATAACCAGAAAATATCGAAAGCCTGTATTTTATCTAAGCAAGAACAGGGAACCTTACCGGGCATTGCCGCCTCAAAGGTCCTTAGTAATTTGGGACTAGTAGCTATCTACTCAATTTGGAGTCACTACAAATACTACATTTCCTTGTGAATATAGAATTAGAAGAGTCATTACAGTCATCGAGACTATTCCCTAGCTGCATTAGCGACACAAGGGGGCATAACAGATCTTTAGGTCGTAGTGTATAATACCCCATACATAAAATAACAAAATAAAAGAAGACGAAGCACGAATATCTTTAAAAAACAAAAACTCTATTGGGACGTGCCTACGTTAATCCTAGTAATCCATTACAGAATATCGGAATAGACAACGCTGTAGAATACATGAACATAAACGAAAAAGATACTAAACCTAATAGCTTATTTCTAGAGCATTTCTTCAAATTTTCTTCTAGTAACAAAACAAATCAAGCTATGAATATCAGAAATAAATATACTGAGATTCACAATACGAAAAAAGACCACGTCATAGGAATGATATAGTAGTGCAAAACCCAGAAAAAAAAAGATGAAGGTAATTGAACTAACTTATTTCCAAAATGAACAGTAACAAGCAGCACGAGATGGTAAACCACAAAAACGGACCGCCAGAAATTCATCAGTGTTCCAGTCTGAAGTAATAGCCATACAATAATGTGCTAGACAAAATAATAAAACAGAAAGTATCAAGAAAATCTACTTTTATATCATGATTGGTTATTATCTACCTAGAAGACTTAACAAAGCTAGGTAGTAAAATAAATTGATCTTAGCCTAGACACCAGACCATAAAGGACCAACTTGGCAATATGGATGAATGAATTAGCCTGACAAGGTCACGATAGATCCCGAATCTTTCAGTAGGGGTGCTATAAGGCAAGGCATATATAGTAAACAATATAAGGAAGGCATACAAAGAATGCACCAAAAAAGATGTGCAGCTGATTAATAGACCAAATTAATCGGTGAGTTCGAAAACCGTACAAGTTCAAAACTTGACATTTTAAAGAAAATGAAGAAGGGAAGATAATTTACCTTTACCAAAACAACTCATCCTTTGTATGAATTTGATAATCTGTATAAGAAATAACAAGGTATGTAATATTTAAATAATGTGATCTACTACTCTGGTAAAAGAAATTATTAAGAAAGCCTGACAAATTTATTCCAAGAATATCCTTTAACTTTTTAGTAATGGTCATGATTCAATGTAATGTAATCGACTTAATAAATGCGACAGCTAAAGTATAATCAACAACTTTATTGAAGTAACCAATAAATGATGTTATTCGTACTTATAACACCTAAAGGATAATAAACAACTTTATTGGAAAACCCTGTACCAATATTATACTACTCTCACACTGAGATATTACTGTAGGATTCTCGTTCCGTCTAGAACCTTCAGCAACACCATCTCAAAAATCCAAAAAATTCACACCCTCACCAACCTTGGTTTATGCGGACACTTTTCCGAATTTTTCTCTTCCTCGATCAAAAATTCTGGTATGGAATTTTGCGATTTGGTTTTCTTCAGTACCCCGGGTTCCTCGGACACCAAAAACTTCCGAGGCGAACAACTTCTTTCATGCTGATTGACGCTATCTTCGGTTTCGGTCACCAAGAACCTTCTAGGACTTGGCGATCTCGAATGTTGAAGATCTCTGCTGTATTTGATCTCGATATCTTCGTGACTGTTTAGCCTCAAAGTAGGCGGCACCGCCTTGGTGTAACGTAGAAAATCTTCTTTGGGGCGCCTAGGGATTTCTCCTAATTCTCTAACGTACCGGTCACTGATCACAGATAGGTCACCGCGCTGAGGAGGGTAACGCAAATGTCTCGAAATGTTTTGATAGAATGTTATTAATTCGATAACACCGACGCATGTTACCAGAATAGACAGCATCAGACCCATGGCTGGTAGCTCGCGAATTATGTCATCATCTTGGCGCGAAATTTGAAAAATAATAACCGTTATTAACGATAAAATATTTACATATGATGTCCGATATAAGTTTTCGGGACAACTGCCAAAACTGCTCGAACAATCGGGAACAAGACCGCGAAAATTATAATTATATTTTATTAGATAGTTCGTTATTTTTTGTTTTTTGATTAGCGTAGTAGAAGATATCGCTGTTTTAATTACGAACGAGCAACTAACTGGGGATAAGGTTGTCAAACGATGGGATGGCTACGTATCGCCCTTGATATTTTTGTTAGTCTACTTGTATTGGCAATCGGTTTTGTTGATTGACTTTGAAAAATTTCGATGTCGACATCAGTGCATGCATGCATACATGCATGCGTGTACAGCAGGGATCAAGAAATTGGGAATGCTTTTTCTGGATGATTTAACACTTTAACTGCCTTAGTCCTATGATAGTGTTATATACTGGTAGTATCAATACTGCAAGGTAGAATCCGATTACAATAAGAAGAACACCGCTACGTCATAACCATTATTTATAATTTCAAATATTATCTATAACTAAAAATAAATAAAGAAATAGTTGTTTGGTAAAAATTATATTTCTTATATTCCTATAATATTTACACGACACTAAACCCCCCGTAGGTGGCGTTAGCCAATGAATTACTTCTCCAAATGATGCCGTAGCTGTGTTCTTCTAATTGTAATCGGACCCTAATCATGTACAAATTGGCAGAATCAGAAAAAGCGTGATTTGCGAATATTAGAACCAGCGCTGAAGAACGATCGCTTCACATAAGACATTGGGTGGCTTCAGCTATTTATGCAGATATGCAATCAATAATAATTTGGAGTTCTCAGAAAAACATGACAATTACACTCATATGACTCAGGGCTTAGATGGCAGAGCCTCGGGGATACTAGGTGAATTTCCGGCAGCACTACGGTAATGCAGGGCTCTGTCGTAGGACCACCCCTTATCTACTCGTGGGATTATAATGAAGAATTATTGAGATGACAAGGAAAACGACGAGGAGAAGTTGGAGGAGGTGCTACGTTCATTAGCCAACTCCAACGCATGTGAAATCCCACCCATTAACAATGGGCAAGCCGATGCTCTTTCTCCAGACACATTTTCAACACTCCACAGTGGCCTCATATGTCCTCGGCAGGAGGTTGGTCAAGGATAGTCTAGACATCGTTTATCAAGGAGCTGTGGATTTTCAATAACGGCCGTATAAGTGGCCTTGGGAACCATTTTGGAAGTTGGTAGTCGGTAACTCTCCAGACCAACAAAAAGCATGCCTTCTTATCAGAAATAATATAAAATTATTTATGTTAACAGGTCACTGAACCCCTGATGTGGTTGCAGCCCTGGTCTCAATTCCGGCGGGGAACCACAGTAAGGATGTCGTCATCTGCTCTGCTTAATTTTCGAAATACGCAGGTCAAGACCAACCACTTTCTTCAGCAACAATGCGAGAACTAGTTGCCTATTGCAAGAGAAACAATAAACAGCTCGTCATTGGGTGTGACTCTAACGTCCACCATAGGGACCGATATCAATGTGCGAGGCGAGTAACCAACTTTCGTGACGAAAAATCGTGAGTAAGTTCTAGACATCAATCAGTACGCAGTTTGTGAATACCAATATTGTTATTCCACCGAACCCTCATTAGTGGTGCACACAAGACGAGACGAGATTTTGCAAATCTCGCTCTTGATCTCGTAAAATCTCGAACTTGACTTTTAGAGAATCTCGACGGGACAATCTCGATCTCGAATCTTGTCGAGATCATTAAATGATAATATTATTCTTGGAAAATAAAAACTATCCTTTCAAATATATACGTTAGAATATCCATTAACATTATAAAAGTAAATATGCATAAATTTTATCGAATCATAAAAAAATATTATTTTTTTTAAATAATTTATATTAAAAATATTATAATAACTTTGAGGTAAATCAAGAATTGAGGCATATCAGAGATCTGGCCGAATCAGCTGTTAACTGGCTTCGATGTTTTCTTATAATGAGGCCAGCTTTAGAAAACAGTCTCTCGGCAGGGACTGACATGGCCGAAATACCCAAAAAAATCTCGAGCCATTTTTGATAGCAAGGGGTAACCATTTTGATTGTGAATCCATCACATTTAAATGTCCGCATCCTTGTCGGCGAGATCTCGACGAGATTTCGCGAGATTTTTTTGAACATTAACAATATGCGCAAACAAGAGGGAGTGGCATTTATGCCAAAACATAATCATAACATTGTGTTTAATTGCTAAGTGTGTCTACCAAAACAGATAATAGGCATATAACTTATTTTTGCTAAATATATTTAGTCCGATTTCTAATAGTGTTTCTGCCAAAACAAGATAAAGGCCAAACCAAGGGGAAACCACTAAGGTCAAAACGTAACTGTATTTCAGAAATTACATAAAAAAATTTTATATGATTTCGGTGATTTTACTGTAAATCAACCTTAATTTTGTAATATGATCTTTTTTTCTGGGTATTTACGGTTCTGAGCGAAGAATTCATTTCGGCGATGAATTCGACTATGATTTTCGATGATGATTTTGGAATTTTCGAGAAAATTTGTAGTGATTTCTAATGAAAATGTAGGTACCAGTATTTTGGGAGTAGTTTACCGCTACTTATTTTTGTTGAAATACGGCAACATTGTGCCCACGTCACTTGTTTTTTATGATTAGAGCCGTCTTTGGCCTTTTTCGATTGTTCCGAAATCCACGAGATGATTACGTCACCCTTTCTTTCCACCATACAGCTAACCTTAAACAACCACTAGATAATAATGAGTGATATCCGAATATTCGTGGTGAACGAGTGATTGGTCAAGATGTAACGGGTGATCGGGTGATTGGTCAAGCTGTAACGAGTGATTGGTCAAGCTGTAACGAGTGATTGGTCAAGCTGTAACGAGTGATTGGTCAAGCCGTAACGAGCGAATCTTTATGTGAAAATTCGTAAATAAAAGTATTAGTGGTACCAGGCGAATTTGAATTTTAACTTGTATCGAAATATTCAGCTATCCTAAATACATACTACCAGAAAATTAGATTTAATTTATCAATGGGCGAGGGTGGAATTCAGCTATATATGCCAAACTCGCACAGTGTTTTTCAGAGGGATGCTTGAAAGGATGAAACAACGTTTTGAAAATACAAAAAAGTGCAAGAAGAAAGATTTACTCAAATTTTGCAAAATGTTACACCTGATGAATTTCACCATTATTATCACAATCTACCTGTATCCAATAATGTTAAAGACCCCGTACTAAATCTTCGATTGCAGATAGTGACACATACATTGAATTATAATTTGTATGTAGAGCTAAAATAAGCTAAGTGACGTTTTTTCTCTTTTTTTACCAATTATTGATAGATTCTTAGTTTATACTTTGTGAACAATGTTTTTAATACCTACTTCATTGAAGTTAATAAACAGTTTAAAGATTTTACTGATTTTTTTATTCTATTTTAAACTTTTGAACAGTGTTTTATCGAAACTAAAAATGTGAGTTATCTTGTTTTTGTAGTAACCCAACGGGATATATTTATGTTTTGTGTTTTATTTATTAGAGGTCCCCCCTAACTAATTTTAGATAAATGGCCTAAAAAAAAGGTCATCGTCCAAAAATATTGTGGCCCGTGTAACTATAGCACACATACGAATGTGGCTCGAAGAAAAAAAGGTTGAGTATAGCTGACCTAGACCCTTCAACAAAGCATCTCGAAATTATAATTTTTGGCGGATGCACTTAGTTCTAAGAAATGGTGGAGGGAGGTCTGCAATTTTCGAAGCGCTACTATTTATAAATATAGCCCAACTTTATCGTTACAAGACCAGTTTCTAGTTAGATATCGTGTTGTTAATATAAACATTATCAATTAGTGTAGAGCAGTAAGACATATAAATTAATGCAGTATTAAGTATAAATAAAGTTATTAAATAAATATTGGTTAAAATAAATAAAGTATTTGAACAAATGAACATTACATAAGCTATCAATCGTTTCATTAAATGTGTTCGCGTTTTTTTTATTCGTTATTAATAATTTTCGAAGTAATTAAAATGCCACAGAAGTTACTTGCTAAAACACTTAATGTATTCAGTAGTTCAAATAATTATACAAATAAATTAAGAACTAATGGTCGTAGGTTTCCTCTAAATAATCCTTTAATCGTTTTACTAGTTCAATTATTTTTAATTAGTTCAACTCCTTGATTAACTTTAAATAACCTTTCGAAGGATTTAGTGGTTTAAATGTTTATACAAATACATTGAAATCTAACGGAGTAGTTCAAATGTCCTGACGCTAAACTCTCTGATTTTCTTCAAAAAAATATCGCTTTGATGTATTTAGTGATTCAAATGCATATACAAATAAATTAAAATTTTAAAATTTAGTAGTTTAATGTTTCAGACGTTAAAAGTCGCTTGTTTCCTTTAAATAACGCTTTAATCGTTTTAGTAGTTCAAATGTACCAGTATTAGGTAAAATAATAGCAATTATTTAAAAAAAAAAGGTTATGTAACTATTTTGACTTTATTTATAAAGGCAATTTGGTTTTCGCAAGAATTGCTCCACTCCACTTTGTGACCTCAGCAAAGCCTTTGACTGTGTCTCTCACAAAGTGGCTCCTTACAGTTTTTTGAATCATATCTGAACAGCCGCCCCTTAATAGTGTTATATAATAATGTAACTTCTAATTCGCATCGTTTGGAGCTTGGAGTACTGCAAGGGTCAGTTCTTAGACCACTGCCATTTAAAATTTATATAAATGATCTTTTTGACCATATGAATTACATAAAGTCTACTATGTTTGCTGACGACGCAATTTTCTATCACTCCAATTCAAATCTCAGTGAACTTCAATTAGAGGACACCAATACAATTATTAAATTAAACGAGTGGCTTATTCCAAATCAACTGAAACTTAATGAAACCAAAA